GAGGCTTATGGCGTCCGGGGGTTCCCTCTTCCAAGGAGGTTGCTATAAAATGGGTGTTTGGTAGTGAAATGATCTAAATAATACATTATTCCTCAATTATAGTTTTTTTTGGACTGCAGTGCCATGGATGGCTAGGACAGGCTAGGGGGGAGTATGCCCTGAACAGCTAGGGCTGTCTACTTATCTCCCTGTTTTCCTTTTATCTCATTAATAATATTGTTGATGCCATTTAATAAAGTTAATTTTTTATTCTTCTCCTCCTCCATAGGAATTTATAAAAGCCGCCACCATGATGGAAGGCAACAAATTACGTTTCAAATTATACGCCTGAAATGTTTACCTAGAAAAAGAGAGGCTTTAGGGCAATTTTATGTTAATTTTGTTACAAGAAATCTAATTGATTTAATTCAAATAAAACTAAAGGTTTACACCATTTGAAGATTTAACATATTATAGCTCATTATTAATATGTAGATGAGCTGAATGTTGGTAAAACATAAATTTAATTTAGCATTACATTTTCTTTAATTAACTTGTGGGTGCAGTTTGTACTGTTTCAAACATTAATCTTAGATAACATATATATATCTATACAATCTGTAGGCTGAGTAAGTGATATCCTGCCTTATTATTTTAAATTTGAAATGCGGTAAACACACTCCTAATAATCACAAAATCAGTCAGATGTGTTGAAATCCAACAGGACATAAGTGAAGATCAAACTAACTTTATCCTTGTTTCTCCTTCTCAGCATTGCAGAGGGTAAACTGCAAAAGATAACGGAGGATAATTGGAGAGATGTGCTTCTAAGAGAATGGATGGTGAAATTTTTCGCCCCTTGGTGCCCTGCCTGCCAAACCCTGTAACCGAGCTGGGACGAGTTCGGTGGACGGACAGACGATCTGGGAAATGGAATTGCTTAGGTTAATGTAACAGAAAGTCCTGGACTGTCCTGAGGTTTATGGTTACAGCTTTACTAACTATATTCCACGTCATCACCTATGTTGAAAGTGGACGAGTTTAGAGGCGGTCTTCGGTTGGAAGTCCCCGGACTCCCTCTTGATGTCTTTGGGCTCACACTTTTTCAAACTATACATTACTGAGTTTGAGTGCATAGTCGACGTTCAAAATCGTGAATTTGGGTGGGTATGTTTTCAGAATCGGTTTTATTTATAATTATTAAATAACGACGACGAAAAATAAAGTAAAAATTACTCAAGTAAAATTTGATGCCAATCGGTCTAGGGGTATTAATAATGATCGGATATTAAAACAACTATTTTCTCAAAAGATTAATAAACATACTTATATACTTGACCGGCGTCGGAGAATTTATTATTGATTAGAGAGGAGGACATCGTGAAGCCAAAAAAAAAACCAATTTTTCACATTTCTTTCACATAAAATTTAAATGGATTTTTTTTTCAGAAACAGATGTTCAGTGTGCAGTGACGTGCACTTCTGTGATTTTCTGCGTCTACCCTTTACAATGGAGCAGGTGCATTAAAAAAAGAAATATTTTTTTTAAATATTAAAGATTAAGTTAAAAACCTACACAGGTTCAAACACGTGTATTTTGATATATACGAGTACATACGACATTATTTGACCTATATTAAAGATCCTGACAAAGATATTCTTGTTGTTCTGTTGTAAATTGATAGATTTTTTATTATGGTTTCTTGAATAAAGTCTCTTGTGAGTTTGTGCAGATGAGATAAAAAGCATGTTTAATAGCAGAAAACAGCTTTCTTCCTAATTGTTGTACAGAGGGGGGTGAGGTCACTTGAAAAAAACGTTGGCAGCAGTGGCTTATATAGGAGTTTGTCTATTTCTTTGTAAGGGGGCTCTTCATCCGTTGGGACTTAAAACCCCCTTGAAAACTAATTTTATTGATCCAGGGGGCAGGGGTTGAGTCCCAATATCCCCCTTATGTTTATGACTCTGGTTGGCAACTCCTGAAATAAAATTTACTGTACCTAGGATGTGTTCACATGTATCTGTGGGGTGAGGTTGGATAAAGAAAGTCTGTATGGACATGTGGAAACCAAACACTTGAATGAGGCTATAGCCAGGTATGATCACTCAACAGGGGTATGTATTTCGATAATTAACCCCCCCCCCGCCTCTTATAAGACATTAACTGGCAAGTTTGTTTCCCATTTTTGATAATTCTTTCCCAAAAAAATAAGTTATTTCTCCCTATTTTGTCAGAAAATAAAACTCAAATCACAAAATAATAAAATGAAGGGGGGGGGGGGGTATTTTTGAAGGAGTGCGAGCAAGTTTTTTTTTAATCTGAAATAAAATAAGATTATTCAATATTGTTAACAATCTTGTACAGCCATCTGATTTTATACCAACTTTAACTATTTAAGAGACTGTAGACATGATTTCAAGTGAACATCCATTACAAGAGAGGCTTAGCATATTCACAACGTTACCGTCTAGCTGTTAATTTATAAATTTCTTAAAAAGTACTTGCGGAGATATGCTTTATATAGAAGAGAGTGTATAATGTTACAGGATGTTAAACTGTTCCTGATTTTAAAAACGACATTATCTTCCTTTTCTGCTCAGAAAATGGTATAAAGGCTACCGTTGTAAATCATACATGCAACTCTTCAGATGGTTGCCGGAGTCACCTGAAATTACATCTATTGCCCCTTTCATGTGAACTATCTATTTATCAACCTTTCAATCAATCAACACAGTCCCCCCTAATCAAAATTTACTTTAAAGAAATGATCTGGGGCAAACATAGCATTTTGGAATGAATAGATTATTTTGATAATTTCATTACCAAAACTCCATTTTAAAGCCGTATCTTTGTTATCCAGTGTATAAATTTGAATTTTTAGTGGGGTTGCCGATTTGATATTTTTCGATTTGAGACCTCATTATTGTGGTAAAAGAGTTAAATTATCAAAATTGTGAATCTTTATTCATGTTCTTTCACAGTTTCTCCTTCTAACTCATCCTTACTCAATTTATTCTCTTAATCCATCCAAAAAACATCCTGTATTACACAGCCACATTTTGAGGAGTTGCGCATGCTCATTTCTGAAAAGCGGAGGCTTGGTCTGCCTAGCAAGTCTGGGAGACTTGTGTCTGCATTGCTGAGGCTTATGGCGTCCGGGGGTTCCCTCTTCCAAGGAGGTTGCTATAAAATGGGTGTTTGGTAGTGAAATGATCTAAATAATACATTAATGTAGTAATTTTGCAAATATTTTGCAGGGACAAGTTTTTTGGATTTGCACACCTAGTCTGTCAAAGTACTACTCTTAAGGATTCCAAAATGCTTTGGCTTGACCCTAGATCATTTCTTTGGAGTAAATTTTGTTTGATTGTGTCATATTTATTTTAGTTTTGCACAGAAGATCTTAGACTTAAAATCCTCTCTTGCTCCACAACTAGTCGATGGTTTACAGCCTGTTGCTACTGCCGTACCTGCATTATTAGATGCTACATATAAACATGATCAACTTGTGAATGCTACTAAGCCCCTTGACGATGTAAATGCTGTAAATAATCATAAGGTGTCCATACCCTTAAATACTACAAATCATCTTGATGCTTCCCGACATGTAAATGATACAAATCACGATACTGATACCCAATATGAAAATTCTATAAATCACCAAGATGACCCCATACCTGTAAACGATGTTTCTGTTCCTAAAAAGTTCCAAGAGGAAGGTTTAAACTCCAGTAACCCTCTCAACCAGAAGGAATCCAGGAATATCAACAACAGTTCAGCTCCTAGTTCAGATGCTGTTCAAGTTGATTTCATTCATCCTCCAGGATCTCGACCCAGCCTGCAACCTGTAGAAGAGACTCCTGAAGATCTAGAGGACGGGGAGGAGGACGAGTTGACCATCTTGTCCTCTCCGGAGGACGAGGATGAGCTGGATCCTCCAATATCTATGAAAACTGGAAGATTCAGGTCAGTTTTATCATTATAAGTTCATAACTGGTATCACTTTTTTTACAATTATTAAAAATTTTAAAATTATTTAAAGCTTTAGTAGTTTTTTTACCATTGTTATTAATCAATTTTGATATTATTATCTTGAACTTTTTCACAATTTAAATTTTCTGAATTATTTTTTTTGGGATCCCTTATTTTCTACAAAAGTATTGCTTTTGCCTTTTATTTTATTAAGATTGAATAACAGAAGCACAGAAATTAGCAAAATTGTAAAAAGATAATTTGCAATTTTCAGTTCTAGCCTAATCTTTAAGGAAAAGTTGTTTTTCAATGGTTCTTAAGGTTTTTAATTAAACAGCGCATATTGAAAACTTCAGAATATACATTATACAAAGAAGAAAGGAACTAGAGAATTTACATAACTTTTTCTAAATTAGACCAGAACTGAAAATTGCGAATTTTCTTTTTACAATTTTGCGAATTTTCTGTGATTCTGTTATTCAATTCAATAAAGTTTTAGATTTTGAAAGAAATATTTTGTATACACATTTTTGCCATTCTGAACTTTCGACTTTGTGAGAAAAAAAAGTTCCCGGATTTTTTTTTGAGCTATTAAAATACCAAAATAAGTAAAAATATTTTTAAAAATATTGAAAAAACACCATACAGGAGAGTTGCACAAAAAAGGTACAATTTTGCACCAAGCACCGCTAATTACACTTTTTGACTCACCCTGTGTGTGAGATCTTCATTAAATTTTTGAAAATTTTGAAAATCCCCGAATTTTTTTGTGAAAATCCGCGAATTATTTTTGTTTTGTTTTACGATGTACACAAAGAGAACATGTTCACAATTAATTTAGAAGATGGGCGCGAAGCGCCCTCTAAGGCTAGTAAATATATATTTTAACATCTAAAATGTATATTTAAGCTGAAAAAAGTTGAAAATACTATATATATAAAAGGCAGTCTCAGGTCAAACAACATTTTGAAGCTCAGATTATTATCAGAAAAATGTATGGTTAGCGTCCTGGAAGGCTGGAAGCCTAGTATGTTTATGTATACATTTTTAGATTTTTTGTCCTTAACTTTGTTGGCGATCGTTTCCCCACTGGATTACTAAAAGCAGAATGTCATTAAAAAGACTTAGTAGCTTTATTCGCGAATTGTAAATCCTTATTTAAATCTCAGATTTGTATAAGTCCTGATGAGACTGGTCTTAGGGTGTCCCTAAAAGTCTGATTGATCATACGCAATTTATTAATTGATTGAAATATCAGGTGCCCTGAGTGTAAGTATGCTGATTCTAGTTGTAAACTAGTTCAAGATCATCTAGAGAATATTCATCCTCTCACCTCAACAATCTCCAGGGTATCCAGGAGACTGATCAAACAAGAGATGAGCATTAAACTAAACGCTGTACATCTTTACAACCCAGAGCAGATTGAAATTCTTAAGCGCGGTGAGTTTCTGTAATTTTTAAAAATAAATATTTTCATATATAATCAATATTCATAAGACGGGGTATGATTTAATATCAATTTTTTCCCCTTTATCTAAAAATAATTTCAGAAGAAATTCTGCGGCAACGCTAGGCACTCCAGCTATTATCATTTCTTAAGAATGTTTGCCAATTTGTTCTGGTAAAAATAGGGTTTTGTATGAAAAAAGATTTTATGGCCCTTTATATTGTTGATAAAAAGGTTGACCATCATTCGATCTATAATAACTCTTAGCTCATATTTCTATATTTGTATATATGTTAGTTTTTTCTTCAAAAAACAAATATTTTTTTCAAAATTCGATTTTTTGTATATTCCACGGGCAACGCCTGGCACTTCAGCTAGTGTGTTAATAAAATCCATTCTTAGTTCTTAAAGTACTTACGCCTTAAGACACTTATTTACATTTTATAAGTAACATTTTCCCTAATGGAAACACTAAGATATTTTCCTTAATGTATACTTAAGCTTAAATACGAAAGAGTTCGGAAGTTTACAATAAGCTGACCGCTGAATCATATTAACACCTAATCAGGGCCAAGCGCTGCGGGTGGATTCACGAATGGGTTGATCATAGCTAATATATTTGGGAAAGTGTCACTTGGGATGATCATTTAAGAAAATTGTAAGTGATTTCGTGCATTTTAGGCATTAAGAGAAACTTTGAGCAAGAATTTGGTAATCCTTCTTCAAGTCAAGATGAGGTATATATATCCTTCTTATTCACTCTTCCCTAGATTGAAACAGAAGGTATTCTGTTATGGGGAGTATGTTTTTTTTGTCTACAAATCGTATGCTGTATGTTAATGCGCCGCGTTCTAAAGAAGGATTTGGGATTCCATTTCGGGTTCCCTTTCATTAATCACATTCCTATGATTGATTTATTGATTGATTTAGTGTTTAAATTCGCCTAATGTTTTTGACCTGTAAATTCCTCCTTTTTAATCTCAAGGAGTCTAGATGGTGGAGCGCTAGGAGGTAGCGCCTTTCAAATTGAGTTCGATGTTTTTGTTCATGTTTTTTCTTCATATTTTTATTCAACTACAAAGCACGAGATTATACAAATAAAAATCACAATTTACTATTTAGTTTTGACCCACCTAACCAGAGTAGGTTGTTTTAATTGGTTGGCCCATTATAGCGAAGAAGAATTGTTGATACGATGTTAACATGTTCCACATTGAATTTTCTATCAGATTTACTTGACTTTATGTACCCCTTTTATTTAGAAATACAATAATAGAATGGATAATAAAAAGGTTCAAATGTTGAGGAAAAAATGAAGAGATTTTTATTAAATTTTCAGTCAATTTAAAGTAAGAAAGGATCCATATATAATATAGATATCCAATTGTTTTTTTAATCACTTGTTGATTTATGCAGCACAGGCAAATAAAGAAATTGTAAGAAATTAATGCTTTTTAATAAAATTCTATAAAAATATTTTCCTAAGTTCCTCATTGTTCATTTTCAAAACTTTAAATTATGTCGACAGTTCATGAAAGAAAGGAGCTAAGCTTGAGCTCAGAACCAGATTTAATGAATAGCGAGAAGTAGCTGAACAGCGCATACATAGTTCAACCGCTTCTCTTGTGCTGCAGTTTAAGCTGAAGAGAATAAGTTCAACTTTGTCTACGTGGTTCAATCATTCATTTAATCTGGTCCTCCTCATGAATTTATTTAGATTTATCTGGCTGAAAGGAGTTCCTTCACATTGCCTGACAGAAAGCGAAGACGACATTTAAGCAATACCCGCCCTGAAACTCCTTCCAAGGAGGTTTGGATTTCTAACTCAACTAAATCCAAACTTTCTGATCCAAGTTTTATTTCTCCAAATCAAAATTTCAACTGGGGAGAAACTGGCTCGAAAACTCTAGAAACGCATTCTTCTAAATATAGCTCAAAATTAGCTTTGTTACCTTCAACAAGATTTCGTTCCAAATCTCCCCAAATGCGTTCTAGGAATCGTTCCAAATCTTCTTATTTGGCTTCACGCTCCACTAGAAATGGGTCCAAATCACCCCAGACGTCTTTACCGTCTACTAGATATCGTTCCAAATCACGTAAGTCACCTTCAGGTTCCACAACAGATAATTTCAACTCCCCTGAAATATGTTATTCTACCAGAACAAAATCCGCAATTTCTCCAACTTCATATTCAAATTCTGGTAAAGGCAATCTACCATCTGTTTTAGCACCTACAAATTTAGCTGAAAATGTCAACAAATCTCCGAAGGTTAGGAAAAGGTCTATTTCTATCAGGTGTTCTAAACCAGATTGTTTAATAAATCCTTCAAAATCATCAAATGCATCCAGAAATCGATCATCATCTCACAAAACTCCATTCTTTTGTATACCAACTTCCTCAGTATCTCCCAAAACAATAACCTCTGTACGTTCAAGTCATGCTGAAATATTACAAAGTGCTCCGAAGAAAATAAATATCCAGAGAACTGGATCTAGTCTTGCAAGGTAACATTTTTACATATTAAAACAAACTTCTTTTAACGAATGTATATTATTTTTTTTTTAATTCCACCTACCTCCGCTATTACAGTTTTGTTTGATTTTATGGAAGAGCATTAATTCATAATTACCTCCAAATTTACAACAAAATATCTGTCTTATCAATTCAGGGATAATAAAGAACCCCCTCTTCTAGAAGATGCCTGGTTGAATCCACATGAAGGGTCAGGTTCATATAAAGATGTTGAAAGTCAATCTGCGGAAAATCTAGTCCAAGTCAAGATTCATTCTGATACTCTTTCAATCTCTGTACCCGTAACAACCTCATCTCGCACTGCCAACGCCTCTTCATCTGCGAATATCTCACGGACCGTTGCTACGCCTGAACCGATCAGCCCCCAACCGCATTCAGAACCCATCTTAGGGGACAAATGGTCCCCTAAGATGGGTTCGATAAATCTTGTTCCTGATTCCGGGGAGTCGGATCTGGATAGTTCTATGGATTCACCTCAAGGGTAATATCTATTTTATAAATTCCAATTTTTAAGTTTTTTTTCTCATTTCTGAATTCACTTTTTTTTAAATGCAGCATTTCTTCAGAAATTCATGCTCATTAAAATTTTTTTCCATCCTAAGAAAATATTTTATGGTAGTAATGATGGAGTAGATTAGAAGAAAAAAAAATATAAAACCCATATATGAACATTTTTTAGATCACCCCGACATTCATCAGATTCAATAACCAGACACAGGAACCTACAAGGTATCTATTAAAGTGCTTTTAAATAATAGTTCAATGAGAAATTTGTAAATTATTTTTTTCCATTTCATGATCTGAGTTCGTTTCCCTTTTTTCTATCTGTCGACGGTCTATTTAAAACATAAAATCTTTCTTGTTTGTTTAATTTCTTGTGGTTTTTTAACATTTGTATTATCGATTTTGATGGTTATTATATCGTTAGAACTGGCGAGGGTCAATCCAGACCGAAATATATTTTCAATAAATGGAACTAACGTCTACCTTGTTTACTCTATAGAGGTTTGGTCCATCATCATCATCGAATTTTAAATGGGGTTAAAAACAAGTTTCACTAATTTCTTATTAGATGTGGCTGGCAATCTATCTTGACCAAATCTAACCTGAATTTAGAATAATTGTGAGTGGTTTTTGTTTTTGTTTTTTATGAAAGAGAATTAGGAGGGCCCTCGTTTCTAATGTTCATGCTTGATATGATCATAGTATTTGTTAACTAAAATGAACCTTTAGATGACGACATTGCCGGAAAGGTAGCATCAGACTTGTCTTCGGAGTGGACTGACGAAGAATGGATGGAAAATGATGATGCAGGAGAAGGAGTACAAGGAGTACAAGGAGTACATGAAGATAAATACGCTACTGAATTAACTACAGAGGATGCTGTTACAGCCCTTGTAGAGTCTTCAAACCCTGGATTAACTCATGAGGAAGATGTTTCAGCACCTGGAAATTCTTCGAATCCTAAATTAACTCATGGAGAAGTTGTGTCAGTGCCAGGAGAGTCTTTAAACCCTGAATTAACTTCTGGAGAAGCTTTATCAGTTCCTGGAGAGTCTTTGAACAACGAAATAACTCCCGAAGACGCTTTAAGCCTTGAAAATAATGACAAACCCAAGGAGCTTAATGATAGAAACAAAGTATCAAGTCCTGATAAAAACAATGGTTGTGAAGAGGATGGGGATGTTACGGAGAAACTCAGTGAACCTCAGCTTGATAATGCAAAAGATGAAGAAACAGAAGACGGCGAAAAACACAGGTAAATTCTAGTTGATTATAAACTTTATGATAATAAAAAGCATCAATTATTTTCATCGAAATCTGACATTGATTTGTTAGTTTTTTTATTAATTGTTTTCAGTTTTCATAATTCTGTAAAATTGATTTTGTTGTTGTCAGGATTGAGAGCTACTTGCAGTATGTAACCAATGTAAATAACATGTACCTCAAATCAACACTTGACTCAACTTCCAGGGAAAATCTACTGCCTAATACAAAGAATAAAATTCAATATATGTTGACCTTTTCATGTCTTGTATTTTCATATAAACTTGGATTTAATTCACTACGCTACCCTCTATACCTAGTAGAACTTCAGCATTTATAACTCTTTCTTTACCTTCGACCCTTTTTATTTTACATCATTATTTATTAAACTAAAACACTTTCTCAAATTTTCCTATTGAAGTCGGCGAAATTTTCAAAACTTTTTTAAAAATAAGTAACATGCTTATTGCTTAAATTTTGACCGTCCATAAACCAATTATAGGTCAAATGAGACCACAAATATCCAATAAACAGCTGTTTCGATGGTTATTGGATCTAAACACCCAAATATATATTTTGCAAAAGTTATTAAGTATTTAAACAGTAGTATTTTTAAGCAGAACTCACGTACGCCTTCGCAACATCGGGATTAATAAATCTGACACGGAGACACAGATAAATAACCAGCAGTCTGGAGTGTCAGCAGGGGAAGAAAGCTATCAGCTGTTTGTGTCAGCCTCAGAAAGTGTAAAGCTGGCTAGACGAGGAACGAATAAAGTCAAGATTACGAAAGAGATTAAGAAAGCTGGAACAAGGAGTAAAAAACCAAAACGAAACCTTCTGGAGGAGTTAAGTAAAACTAGTAAAAGCGCAGACTCATCGCCGGTTAAAACAAAACCAGGCCGGGGGAGGCCACTCAAAAAACCTCCGACCCCCGTCGCCTATCCTAAAAAAGAAACATCTTTTATTGAAGGAACTAGTTTTGATGAGCTACTTGATGCTGAGGAGGATGACACTGATCTGAATCCAGACTGTGAGCTGGAGTACACAGAACCAGATCTTGGTTCCTCCCTCCTGGCACATCTTGCAGTACGGTCTATAGGTTTACCACCGGAGAGATATGATCAGAAGGAGATTGAAGCTTTTATCACGACGTTCTTCCCGTTCTACAGGAATAGATTTAAGGAGTGGGAGTGGAGAGATCTTAGCTCTCAACTCAAGTTCAATCCGAATATAAGGTTAAGCCACTCTTACTTTAATAAATCGATCCCCCTTCTCAATTGTAAAGTTTTATTACATCTCAAGATTGATGTAATAACAATTAGTTCAGGAACAAGTGAAACGTTTCTTCTTGGATAGGGGGAGGGTTAAAACATTGGACTTAAACTTTCAAGCTTTTATTAGTCATCAAGTGTAAAGTAATATACCTTTTCAGCAAAAATTCATGACTTTCCTCATAAAATCGTTTATTTCTCCCCTGGTTTTTTCCGATTCTGATGATTATGATAATAGCAATTTCTAAGATAAAATTGTTTAGGAAAACCAATTATGTGATCAACAACCTTAACCTGGCTGTGGTGAATGAGCATAGTGGAGAAACTAGAACCTGTCTTCATCCTTTGTTCCTGGAGAGAATGGTTCAATCCTTCCTGGAGGACGGTGAGTTTTCTCATCCGTCCAGTTCCAATATGTTAGAGATGAGTAGCCTGGATCAGATGTATCTAGGTCTAGCTAGACTAGGATATCCGGTCAGCTTGAAGCAGGTCAAATATTATCTGTTGTTCGCAATACCGTCGTTTATTCATGAGATCAAGAACTGGGAAGCAAAAATTCAACCTCTTCTCATTGGATCAAAAATTGTTGATGCCAAGGACGGTTTATACTCCATTTCTCAAGGATATCTCAAGTATGTGACGGACAAGCTTGAAACCTACTTTAAGGAGAACAAGGAGAAATGTTTAGCTGCGATATCTTATCCGAACCTGTTCTCATTTTCTCAGCTCAGCTTTACCCCACCAAGAAGATATTCAGAAGAGGAAATCTCTGCTCAACACTCCAATGATGTTGCCATTGAAAATTCGAAATCCATCTCCGACGACTTAAATTTTTTACCTACTGCCCTTGATGCTTCAAAACCTAAAAACTTGGAAGGAGAGAACAATGATATATCGAAGAATGTTGTATTTGATCAAGGTACTACAGAGAAACGGTCTGGACAATCCAGTGAATTACTTGCGGAGCAAATAAAAGATAACAAGCAAGTGTTTGATGAGGATAAGAGGATGTTGGATGAGGATGAGAGGGTGTTGGATGAGGATGAGAAGATGTTGGATCAGGATGAGAAGATGTTGGATCAGGATGAGCATATGTCAGATAAAGAACTAAATCTAGAAACCAACTCGCAGTTCAATGACCTAAAACAAAGAAATAATGATAAATCGATCCCTCAAACCACTTTTAGCACAACACCAAGTCCTTTTATCTCACCGTTCAAACCTATTCCTCTGGGCCAAGGTTTGAGCATTCAAAAGGTTGGGCCAGCAAGAGAGCAACAAAAATCTTCCAGAGATCCGTTATTGTTGATGCCTGGTGACATTATAGCCTACGTCATTTCATGCAACCAAAACATCAACGTGAAATCTATCGGAGTTGGAATGAAATCTCTGATCCATTCGATCTCAAAGAAAGAGATTAATGCCATTGGTAAAACTATCCATCCTTCTGCAGGGGTATTCGTTCAGGTCGGAGAAAGTTTTTTACCTAAACCTATCCTACGGATTGTAGGAGAATGTGTGTGTAAACTGTGGATAGCAGAGAATAAAGTTGAACTCTTGGAGCAGGGTTGGAGTAGGGAGAACCTGGAGAAATTAGTCCCAGGGTTGGATAACAGCAAAGAATTTCTCTTTCATATGATTCAAGAACAAGCGGCCGTTTTTAATCAGGTATATTTAAAATATAGTTTTTAACTTTTTTAAAAAATATTCCCCCTTTTTTCCATAGAGATTAGGCATATTTGCGCGTAGCGCAAAAATTAATATTTCATTACTTAGTTCCTAAAGATCACCCTGTAATTTGTTTGTGAACTTCGTACTCTCATCCGCAAAGTATTTTTATATTTTTGTTTCGAAGCTTCAAAATCATAGTCAACCTCACCCCTTGCAACCCTTAAAAAAACCATACAAGTTTTAGTGACAGTGGGTGTAGTTTTAAATAACTTTCCATTTACAGGTTGGTATGTCTGATTCACAATGGTACCCTTTAAATCTCTGTAAGATAAAAAATGAAAGAGCTAGTTCCCAGTTTTTCCATCTAACCTTTTTTTATTGCAGCTCCCAATAACAGCAGAAAACCCACGAATCTTCCTCATAATTAATCCCATGAAGGACTATTATTATTATTATTATTATTATTATTATTATTATTATTATTATTATTATTATTATTATTATTATTATTATTATTATTATTATTATATAATAATCAACCTACTGACAGAGTACAATGACCTGTAGGTTAAAATACAAGGAAAACAGGACTGAGCTCCTCCACTTACCCTGGTCTATAAGGGATCTAGTGGTTCAGATCTTGAATCAATTTGTTTAGGATTCAATATGTATGCCAGAAATGCGTGATACTAGGGGTAAAATAAAAATGTGCTTTGAAAGCACTTACAGAGAGCGGTACACACCTCCGTAGAAAAACATTTTTGTTAAATGAAGTTCATAAGATCAGGACTAGAGGGTACCAAAGTGAATTGGGTATATAGGGCTTAAAATTGAAGGTTTCTTGGAATTATGTCAATACTCCCTTTCAAGAGAGTGTCTGGCTAGACATGGTAGTTGAGCTGAGAATGCAGTCTTGTAGAGAAATTTTGTAGGATTTATTTGAGACCTGTCAAACGTTTTCACTGTACATATTTGTTCAGCAGGAGCGCTAATTCATTCTTGAAATCCTCATAGATTATTCATTTTAGAGGGATGATTTTGAGATTCGTTTTTTATTATAAAATAACGACGACAACAAAAATCCAATTTTTAGGGTGTACGCCTAATTAGTGATCGAAATTCCTAAAATGAAATCAAATTGAATTTTAATGAACTCTAATGACCTCTAATGACCTCCAATGACTTCCACAAATTGAAAATATTTCAACTATGGCTTTATGCATATCAAACGAAAGCTAGGAACCCCAGGAATACAGTAGCAGCAACAAATCCAGTGTTTGACCTCTTACGACCTCTAATGACCTAAATGACCTCCAAAAATCAAAATGTTTTAACTATGGCTTTATGCATATCAAACGAAAGATAGGAACCCAGGAAATGCCGGAGCAGCAACGAATCCAGTGTTTTACCATCTAATGACCTTAAATGACCTCCAAAATAAAAATGTTATAACTATGACTTAAAGCATATAAAAAGAAAGCTACGACCCAGGGAATACAGTAGCAGCAACGCATCCAGTGTTTGTCTTTCTAACAACCTTTAATGACCTCCAAATTGAAAATGTTTTAACCATAGTATGTATTTCAAATGAAAGCTAGGAACTAGAGAATACAGTGACAGCAACAAATCTAGTGTTTGAACTTCTAATGACCTACAATGACCTTTAATAACCTCCATGAAAATATTTAAGTATGGCTTTAGGCATATCAAACAAACATTAGTAACCCCCAAAGAATCGAGTAGCAGCAACAAATCCAATGTTTGACTTTCTAATAACCTCTAACGACCTGTAATGACCTCCAAATTGAAAAAGTTCTAAATAAGGATTTATGTTTATCAATCAAAAGCTAGGAACCCAGACAATACACTGGATTTGTTGCTGCTACTGTATTCCTGGGGTTCCTAGCTTTTGTTTGTTATGCATAAAGCCATAGTTAAAACATTTTCATTTTTGGAGGTCATTTAGGTCATTAGAGGTCGTAAGAGGTCATTAGAAGGTCAAACACTGAATTTGTTGCTGCTACTGTATTCCCTGGGTTCCTAGCTTTCGTTTGATATGCATAAAGCCATAGTTGAAATATTTTCTATTTGTGGTGGTCATTAGAGGTCATATTTTTTTTTGCAGAATATTTGCAGAATTTTTATAATTCTGTGAACAATTTGAAACGAAAAAAAAGAAATTCAATATAATGATAAAAATAAGTATTGATTCTAACATTAATTTATTGACAAATTTCTATTGAGAAATATGTTGCTCTTAACATCTAATTAGTTTACTGTAGAATTTGTGTAACATTTTTCGTCATAAATTATTTAAAAATTTAAAAAACGATTCTCAAAATCAATTCATTAAAATGGACAATCTATGAGGAATTTAACTATGAATTACTGAACAAATATGCACCATAAAAACGTCTGATAAGTCTCAAATGAATTCTAAAAATTTTATCTGCAAACTGCATTTTCAGTTGAACTGCCATGTATTCTACCTTTAAATAAATATTTTAGGGTGTATGCGAGGAGTTGAATCCTAGCACTATTTTCCATGATAAAAAACTAATCCTGGCGCTAGCTGCATTGTGTACCCAGAGTAAGGATGGAACTGCGGAGTATTCAGCTGTCAACAATTTCATCCATCTTCATTTTCCTTACTACAAACTTTCAGGGTAGGACAACACTCTTATTTTCAGATATTGTTTAAAATCTAGAATTTACTTCTCTTATGCAAGTCAGTTAATTGTTTATTAGAGGGTGGTAGATTAATTCAATCTTCAGAAACTTCGTTCTTTTGATTTTCTTTCAAAATATTAACTTCAAGTAAACATCTTAGCCATGGGCCGTAAGTTCTTAGTCATATACTGATTTAGTATAGTCATTTCAGTACTTGATTCGGTTGGTTCTTTTGATGTCCCCGAAACTCTGATTTGATTTGATTTGATTGGATTCGATTCGATCTAGTTATAAATTGTTTTAAACGTTTTTTATTATTATACTGAATCTGAACCTGTTCTGTATGCAAACCTTTATCCAGCAAACAAATACTTTTTCAACTTCTACGAGGTTCCAAAAACACTCGTGTTAGCGATTTTTTTTGCCGAAATTTTTGTATCCCTGTTCTTTCTTTAGTTTTTTTTCTTATTCTGAGAACTATAATTCACATTATTGTTTCAGGTTGAAGTTTGATTCGGGTCTGGATCCTAACAAACGAATCCTTGTGGATCCTTGTTTTTCCGAATATTGCAGCACATACTTCCAACGTATTGTGAGATCTCAAAGAAAACTTGCATGCTTTTTTCAGCCGGAAATATTAAACCTCCTTCTCCCCCCGGAACTAACGTTTCCGGTCCAAACAGTTTACGATAAACCTGGATTGAGTGAGGACCTTCTGGTTAGCCTAGCAGTTCTCCAGGTGTCAGATGAGTACGGTTGGGCGGAGAGTTCAGAGATAGAAGGGTTTATTACCCTTCATTTTCCGTTCTATGGGCACAGTTCAGATTCAGAAATGAAATCATTTATTTCCTCTCTCTCAAGTTCTAGCAGTGGGTTGTTCAATATCAGGTTTCATCTTGGTATACCTGGAAACAATTTCAGGATCAGAATCAAACCAGATTGTCTGCTCCGGGTGTACACCCGGCTTTTGGAGGAGTTTGAAGCTGGAGATAACTCTGAGAGGATGATGAGATCTCCGGAGATGATGAAAACTATCCTGAACCTGCATCCTCCTGTCTGGAAAGATTACTTTACTTTGAAAGAGCCAAGTAGAGGATTAACCGTATCCAAACATCTACTGGGTAGTTCGGCGAATATTCAAGAATCCTCCTTATCCGATCATGGTGGTTACCGCTCCGGTTCCAGCCAGCCTTCACACAACCCTGAAGTAGAACACTCTCAACCTACAGCTTTAGAAGAAATTCCAGAAAGCAGGTTGCAAGAAGAAGAAGATGAACCCCTGTTTAAACCGGATCTAAATATTCATGTTATAATTGGCTTATCCCTTCTCATCACTAAGCTAATAAAGAATGAAGAAGAGGCAGGGGAGGAGGAGAAGGAGGATCTGATTTTGAACCAGTTTACTTTATGTGAAACTTTTACTCTCCGATCCCTCATAAAGGCCCTGGAAACAGTATTCTCCTACTACACTCTCAACTCAAATAAGAAAGAATTTGTCCTGCAGTTCCGAGATCTAGGAGATAATCAGATCCTAGAATACTATGAGAAAGGTCAAGGAACATACTGCCTGCGAAAATCTATGTGTGAAGGAGTTTTTCAAGAGATGTTGCTGGTTTCTCTAAACCCAGGGAAGATTGTACCTGGTTTGATGAGACCTGATTATCTCCGGGTTATAACATCCTCCCGTCCTTCACTCTCTGACTCCATGTTGGTAACAATCGCCCTTCTCAATCTTGGAAACTCAAGTGAGAGGTGTGCCGTCTCAACTCCGTCCCTAAAGGCCTTCATAGGAGAACACTTTCAGTACAGGACTATCAGTTTACAAGACGTGGGCTGGGGAAAGGATTCTAAAATGTGGACCTTGCTTGCTATGCTGGTAGATCATGACATTTTTAAGCTGGAGAAATCATATATTTTATTCAAAGATTCGGTGGACATCAACCTGATGCATCGGAAGGTTGAGGAGACTTTAAGAAAAGTTGAGGCGCATGGTTTCATTAACCTCTCTCCGCAGATTCTTACGATATTCCGGAGAACCAAGTTAGAACCACCCTTTGAAAGTCCACCAATCCCCTTGGATTATTTAGCTGCATTAGCTCTCCGAAACCTGGCAGTAGAACCAGGAGCTAATGTTGAGATCTCCAAGATGTGGAGTTTCCTTGCAACGGTTTTCCCGCATTTTCAAACCACCTCACCCTGGCCTGAGCAGGAACTGTATCATGGGGTTGGATTCGAGGGAAGAAATAGATTTCATGTTTTTAAGGAACAGGACGAGATATACGTGGCTCTACCAGCATCTATAGCAGAGGAGGTGTATGATGAGATGATGGGATATATTGAGAGGCATGAGAACAGTATCCGGGAGTGCATGGAGAATGGAAACCTTCTCTGGAATATTATGAATGGAATTATGCCAAACAACATTTAGCTAATTACAGTTCAAATCTTCAAATTTCGAATTATTGGTTCACAAATCAAAATTGTGGTTTTGCAGGTTTTACAAATCAATCTTTGAAGTCGCATGCATATACATAAAAAAGTTCCCACTAAACTTGTTAATAACAAAGAAAAAATCTGAAATTTACAATCTCTATGGGGTTCATGCTTTTTGGTTTTAAAATTACGAGGAACTGCACTGTAAGCTAAATTTCAAGGACCCCCCCCCCCTGACTAACGAAAGAAATGACGTGAAAACATCGAAAATTATAAAACTTACTTAATTTCTAGAAAACTTGTCAGTCTCAACTTTTAGTGGATAACATTGTATTATTACAATTTTGATATTGAAATGTTTGGAGTAAATTACTAAAATTTACAACAATTTACAAATGTGATATGTTAAAGATTTATGAGCAAATTTTATATTTACTGTACAATTTTGGCTAAATGTGATATGCTAAAGATTTATGTGCAAATTTAATACTTACTGTTCTTATTTGGCTCTGTGCCATTTTTCAAATATATTTGGAAAAAAATAATTATTCAAAAATGACAGAAAAATTATAAGATTGTTGTTGAAATATCATTTTATCTTGTACCTTTTAATTCATTTCCCGTATCAGGAAATATGAAACCTAAAGCTCTAAGGAGAGTAATAGATATTGTAATTTCTCACATTATGCCGCCTATATTGTCTGTAGTTAGTGATGTGACTTTTGCTGGTTCGTTTTTGGTTATTATTTTTCAGGGTCAGTGTAAATTAAGCAAAGAAGTAGAAATATTGCATAGTTTATTAAAGGTCAACTTCAACATTATGCAGTTTTGAAAACTGGGAAGTATTATTTAATAATAACTATCCAAAATCAAGATTTTTGTAAAAACTTAGTTTTATTTAGTATAATCTATCCAAAACATAAGTTTATTTAGTAAAAACTATCCAAAACTAAGTTTTATTTAGCAAAAACTATCCAAAACTAAGTTTTATTTAGTAAAAACTATCCAACTAAGTTTATTTAGTAAAAACTAACTAAGTCTTATTTAGTAGACACTATCCAAAACTAATTGAATCGGCATGATCGAATGGCATGCCGATTTATAGCAGTGTCCTTTAAGGCTTTGTCTCATCAACAATGTTTGAGATATTCTTAATTTTTCTATTAACAGAGATATTGGAGGTAATTGTGAGAAATAACGAATTACAAAGCTAGAAAATCGACGACATCTTCCACATTAAATTAATCAGAAAAAGGCTGTTATGTGTTCCTTTGTGAATATGCATGCCCGTCTTTAGATAAAGGGTTACTTGAAATTACAAAGACAGTCCCTCTTTACCTATATTTTCTGCTCTAACCTTCCTTGTTTTAATTTTTGACAAAAAATACCTTTTATTGGTTCGTCTGACTAGCAATTATATCTATATCTAGGATAAATTATTAATGATACAGAAATGTAGCCTAAGAAAAATTTATTTTGTCAATTGTGGCTTGAAGCCCACATACAAGTAATTGCACATAGACAATATATATTCGAGTTACCCACAGAGTGAAAATTTAAAAACTTCTTAGATTTTATTTTGCTTTATGTCTAAAAAATGCAGCTGCCTTCGGCTGCTCAATAATAGATGTTTTTGACCTCAATAATTAATACCATTTTACAATTTTGATCAGAAGGCCAGACAATTTTTTTGAGGGTTTTAAAAGTCTTTAAAAGTTTTGTATGGATAACCCTGTACAGCGTACAATATAAAAATATTAATATATTAAATGATTAAATCAGACTAGATTATGCAAGGTTGTATATTTAAGATTACTTTCAAAGAGCTCCAATTTACGGAAAATGACGTCTCCAAAGATATATAGATGAAAACCTAATATGACGTCACTTATTCTACGACCTTGAGACTATGACTAGCTAAGTATAAATATGAGCAATCACATTGATTTAATTTAAAAAGAATCATTGCTGAATGAATTGGATTCCTGAACAATAGTTTTTTTTCGTATTATATGTTCTTGTCGTGGTTTTGAATACACAGTCAATGGCGGAACTAGCACTTAGGGGAGGCGGAATAAAATTTTGATGGGCTGGTGTCGGGGCTAGCCCCCGGTCGAAAATGTTTTCATAAAACCGTTGCAATTTCAGGATTTTAAGTGAAAAACAGCATTTTTTATTTGCTGGAGGGTTTGCAGTGGCACTGTGCTCAATATTATACCAAATGCTTGTAATATCCATGGCTTGATCTTGTGTTTAAAAAAATATACTTCCAACAGATTTATAATAAACGACATCAGTAAATTAATCATGAGCGCGAAGCGTCAAAAATTTGACTCTTCTAGTGTCTTTTCATGTATTTCTTAGTGTCAGTTAGTCCCTAGCTTAGACATATTCACTTTGTATATAAAGTCCCCTTTACAGTCTACAGCAGTTTTTTTTGTAATTCATCCACTAGTCATATTTGTCCACTTTACACTACACTATACTATATATATGTCCCTTAATCGTAGGTCTGTGCAGTCCTAAGTATTCCTGGCAGTATTTGACTATATATTTCGTCTGTCCATAATCCATAATAGTCTTTCTGATCGAAGTCCCTCTGTCCTTTTATGCCAGTAAGGGGCTTACCCTGTTTTCCTCCTTAAGTCTGCATAAGTCCTAATAGTCTGATACAATCCTTATTATATTTCTTGTTATTCTTCTTAGGTTTTCAGGTTTGGTGTAACATTAAATGGTATATGTATTGTAACACACTCACGAGAAGTAACATATAAACATGTTTTTTAGTGGGGATAAATTAAGAATGACTGACTTTCTTTAAGTCGAAAACGAGAAAATAGTAAGAAATTATATTCGAAATGATGCGCGAAGTAGCGAAGAAAAATTTTGGTGTTTTTTTTTCTTCACTGACAAAATTTTACAAAAGATGGTCCACAATCATGATTATGCTGGTGTCAAGTGAGGGGGGGGGGCGAGATGGGGACGAAATTTGTTGAGGGGGGCGAAACTCGGTTCGCCCCCCCCCTAGTTGCGCCACTGATACAGAATAAAATGTCTATTTCTAAATCACAACAATTTTTATTCTAAAGTTTGAAATGTTTTTTGTTCAAATTTAATTCGTTAGCTCTAGTATAATATGTCAATACTATTAGATATTTTTAACTACATACATACATAATACATATATATAAATGAGTAATTTTTCAGATGAATAAGATCAATAAATGATAAAAAAAAAAAAATTCATTTGCAGGAAATTTTTTGTTCTTTTCCTGTGGAACAACCAAAATGACTAGATCACATATTTCTTTGGTCTGGGTTCTATTTCCAGCTCTGCTCTTGAGTCTTGGTACTGTCTTTAGTATGGGAGAAAATACCTGTCCCCGTGATTTGGAAACTATTTTCAGTTCTGTTACTGATAAATGTAAGGGCGTAAACCAGTACTTACTCGAGGTTTATAAGCAGTTTTTCTCCTGGTACTGTCTAGAATAACGAAGAACCCACGTTCTGCTATGGATTATTGGATACTGCCTTGAGTGATGAGGCAAACCCACCCTGCTTTGAAAACTGTCTTGAGTAATGTAACAAACCTGTCCCTGCTCTGTGTTCTATTTGTATTTCTTTTCTTGGTAGGATTGGTAGTCTCCCGGGTAATAGAGCAAACCCATCCTTCCACTGGGTTCTATTAGAGTTTCTGGTCTTTGCACTGTCTTAAGTATTAGAGCAAACCCGTCCCTGCTCTAGATTCTATTTCAAGTTCTTGGTACTTTCTAAAGAATACAGCGAACCCGTTTCTCCTCTGCATGGGTTCTATTTGAAGTTCTTCTTTGATAGTGTATAGTAATACTCTCCAGAGTAATAGAGCAAACCCGTCCCTCCTCTGGGTTCTATCGGAGTTTCCTGTCTGCAAACTGTCTATAAGAGTATTAGAGCAAACATGTTCGTACTCTGGGTTCTATAAGCAATTATTCTCTGGGTACTCCTACAGTAATGAGAGCAGATGTGTCCGGAGATCATATCATTGTACTTGAGCAAGTCCGTTACTGGACACGCTCTGCAGTTGATAAGGGTCATACAAATAGGTAAAAATTGACCGGAAATTAAACCAGGTATCAGAGATTCTCTCTACGATCTAGTGCAAGACTCAAAGAGCTACAGAGGAGATTACATGTTATTTCTCGAACCAAAAAGACTACTCAGAGCTCTTATTCTTGCTCTGGGAAGTAATCAGAGTAAAACAGATCATTCCTTGTGTTAAGTCCCAGGATCATTAATCCCTACTCCAGCTTCTCCCTGACCTGCTAGAGCTACTACTACTTCTACTAGAGGATGAAGGTGAAGGACTTGGAGTTCGTCTTTGATAAGGAACAGGACGCTTCCTTGCACTGGTAATTCTTCTTCGATCCAGGAAACTCGGAGATCCCTTTCTTCGTTGGATTGAGGGGGATCGTGATTTTGGTCGGGGGTTAGATCTTGATCTTGATCTTGACCTGGAGGAAGTTAGTGAGTATGTGTTTGATCTTGATCTGGAACTGTATGATCTTGATCGACTTCGTGATTGGGAATATGATCTTGAGCTTGATCTTGAGTAATCAGATCCTGATCCTGATCTTGATGATGATCTAGATCTTGATTTTGATCCTGATCTTGACCTTGATCGGGAAACTGATCTTGACAAAGAGATCACTATCTCTGGATCTTTAAACTGTTTGAAGCTCTCCTCCAGCTCTTTATCGATATCGTCAAGAAGAAGATCGTCATTTTTCATATCCTGAATATGATCCTCAAGAGGAGGCAACTTCTTCTCTTCTTTCAGCTCATAGAAGAACCCCTTCCCGCCGTTCTGTCGAATCTTTTTTCGGTTTCCAAGTTTCTTTGACAGCTCTGCAAATGTTGAGATTTTTGCCGGCGTAGGAATCTTTTTTGAATTAACACTAATCTCAAAAGATAGTTTAGGTGCGTGATTTGGTTGTTTTCGGGCGCTCGCAATTTCATCTGAACTTACGAAAGTGTTTTTCTCAAATTTATTCTCTACTTTCGGAGTAGGAGGACGGGTTGGGATATCCTCAATTTTGGTGAAAATAATATTTCCATCCTCAGGTTTTAATTCAGTATCTTCGTTCTTGCCCTTTCTCTTGTCTTTCTTTCTTGACGAGGAACGAGAGTCGGCTTGATCTGCGACCTCTGAACCGTTGAGGCTGAGAAGTATACGTTTAGGCAGAAGTTTAGGATAGATTTTACCATCTCCGGTCACTGGGGGGGATATTTTAACCGAGTTTTCATCCTCTTCTCTTTCCTTCTTCCCACCATTCTTCTTTTCCTTTTTCTTTCGACTCTTCTTTGATCTAAAAACAATATATCATAAGATGTCTGCGAAGATAATACAGGGCTACCCATAAAGGATGGAATTTCAGAGAACGATGTACGAAACTTACTTATTCTTATTTCTTACATTCCTGGCTCCTTGCAGCCTACATTTTCATTATCTTTACGAAATCATGAAATAAACCGTTAAGAGACTATTTTCAAGGCAATCTCTCAAATTATGATTTCTAATTGTCATTTTGAAGGAAGTACGGTCGTCATTAAGTCTCATTCTTTATGGGTAACTTCTTAGATAATACATTCAATATAAATTAACATTTTTAAAAAATACGAGAAGTTTGATAACAGGATAATTGATCTTATAATGTCGTACCAAAAGAATTTGGTAAGCCATTATTTAAACCTTATTCTTATTCTAAAAGTTGTATTCGATTCTATCAACGTTATATGAGATTATATCGATGTGTAACCATATGGTCTAACGAGGGAGGGAACCCCCGGACGCCATGAGCCTCCGCTATGCAGACAGGAGCATCCCAGATTTGCTAGGCAGACTGAGCCTCTGCATATATACAGACCGTGCCTATGCTATGCAGTAAACGAACCTCCACCATACAGCACACTTTTTTAAATCTTGGTTTTTATGTGTAAGGAAAAAATTTGAATTTTATTTTGACGCAGTGACATTAGAATTTTACTAAAGATTAGAGTTATTTATTGATTGTCAAGATTAGAATTATATTATGTACTCATTAAGTGGTTTAGAAGATTTATACTAAAACATTTCTTACGCAGAAAGGAAGATATTTGGAGAAATATTTCTGGAGTAAACTTAGTTTGTTTTGTTGTAATCTTTGATTTAAACAATATCTTTTTTGAAAATGTTAAGATTTAAATTAATGATCCCAATTTTCTAGATTTAATTTGAACTACAAAAAAAGGTATTGATTAAACCAAAGATTATAAAAGATTAAATTAAATTCAATTTTAACTATTGTTCTCTAAATATTTTCCTTTTTTAAAAAATGTTTAAAGTTTTATATTCAACTTTATTAGTCATAATTAGGCACTATTTAGGATAATTGATAAATATTTCTCATCTTTGAGAAACCTCTTATGCCACTAATATCGAAAAAATTGTAAAACAAATCTTTTATTGAAACTTAAAAAACAAGTTTAAAAAAACCTTCTGTATTACACAGGCACATTTTGATGTATTGCGCATGCTCATTATTGCATAGCTAAGGCTCGGTCTGCCTAGCAAATATGGGAGGCTCGTGTCTGCATAGCGGAGGCTCATGGCGTCCGGGGGTTCCCTCCCTCGTCTAACAGGAACACAACGATATGAATTCTTGCGGAATATTCGTAAACCACATATCTTAATTCCTTGTGCCTACACCTTGATTTCCTGTGCCTAATGCTTATACCTTGATTTCCTGTGCCTATGTCTTGATCTTGATTCTCTTTTCCTCTTAGACCTACTCCTTGATCTGCTCCTTGATCTAGACCTTGAATCCGACCTTGATCTAGATCTTGAGAAGGAACGAGTTATTTTACGTTTCCGTCCACGTTCCTGAAAATAAGAAAAACTATGTAAGTTTTAATATTGGCAAACAATTCCTAAAACCATATTTACTTCCAAGATCTGACAAGCAAACATTACAATATTTAAGTCGTTTATCATTTAAATTTTTATAATGCAAGGGGATAATAGCGATAATTGTGCAATCTTTAATTAGTATTCAAATACCTAATATATACTTAGGTTAATATTGGCTTTATAAATCTACCTGATCTACCATGGTAGATATCTACCATATTAATCTACCTGATCTTCTAAGGATGATATCAACTATATAATTCTACCTGATCTACCATGGTAAATATCTACTATATTAATCTACCTGATCTTCTAAGGACGATATCAACTATATAAATCTACCTGATCTACCATGGTAAATATCCACTATATGAATCTACCTGATCTTCTAAGGTTGACATCAACTATTTAAACCTTCCTGATCTACTGAGGATGACATCAATTATATAAATCTACCTGATATACTAAGGATGATATCAACTATAAATCTACCTGATCTACTAAGATTGATATCAACTATATAAATCTACCTGATCTACTAAGGATGATATCAACTATATAAATCTACCTGATCTACTAAGGATGATGTCAACTGCTTATGATGGTTAAGTTTGCTCGCAGTCTCCTCCGTAACATTAGTCCCCCTGAAAGAGACGAACATGGTTTGAATAAATTCTTTAAATCAGTTTTAAAATCAGCATATACAACATTTAATATTATACATACAGAAAAGATATTACTTATAAAATCAAATGTCGAACATTTTTGTTACATAAAAAATTATATTTCCTTGAACTTACATACAGGGTTACCTAAAAAGAATGAGCCTTTATTGGCGACCTGAATTCCCTTAGATATTACGATTTAAAAGTTAAAGGAATTGAGTCTTTGCCACAAAGGCATATCTTTTAATCCATATATCTTAGCAACCTGATGGTGTAAACCTTTGATATTTCAAATTTTGATTATTTGATCCAACAGAATTCATAGTTTGAAATATTAAAGGTCTTCGAAATTTGGTTGGAAAGAACTAAGGATTAGAAAATCAAAGTTTGTGTCAAATACTTAATTCCTTTGGTCTTTTGATTCTAAATTTAAGGGTCTTAAAAAAAGCCATATTCCATATTCTGGCTGTAACCCAAGCTGTATAAGTATGTTTATTAGAGTCAGAATTTGAATTTGAAAAAGTGTTCATTCTTTTTTTTTATTCTAACTGAAAATGTTTAATATGCTGAATAAAAATAAAACCAATACTACAATAAAACTACTACAGATTTAGTACAGTGTAGAAATAGCATTATTTCCCAAACATAATTCAAAGGATTACAAATGTTGTTATTTTTTGCCAAAAAAATCTTCACAGTTGAATTATCTTTTAAGGATCATTAGTGAGAACAAAACAAATCCATAATAAAATAAATAAAATCAATGAAATAAAACTTTTTTTAACTTAATTAACCCTTCCCCAACCTCACCTTTTGGTAAGAAAGCTGAAAATATATGATACAAAACTGCAAGAATACATTTCTAATGATTTACTTCAATTTCAGCAATCTTTTAACATTTTTTTCAAATAAAAAAAATTAAATCTGGGATTTTAGCTTACAATAATAAACCTGGAATTCTCTTTAAAGGAACTGGAAACGTAATTTCTAGGTTCCCTTATTTAAAAAGTGTTTTGCCCGATTAACAATGGTACTCTTTGAAACCTTTATCTCAGATACTTCCTGTTCTCTGCCATGCTAAATCCGCAAATAATCTTTACAGAGAAACCACCACAAAGATATGATAAATATTAGGCAGAAAAATAATGATATCATCATCATTTTTGCTCCAACGAATGTCACTTTTAATTGCGTCTACAGTTCCATTAACATGCATAAATTCAAAGAGAATCTAATAAAAAAAAGTTTCCCGTTATATAAAAAATTGTAATAGATATTCGAGAACGAACAACAGAAACAAATAAATTAAATAAAAATCAAGATTTCGGTTGGACATAGAGAGGTTGTAACTTTTGAATTGCTAATCTCTTCAGAAAGCACTATTACGTATCTTCCATACTCCGATGGATTAAGTCTCTAAAGGTCCGATCAATCTCAGGCTACTCAAATTCACTGCTGCCTAATGAGAAAGAGCGGAAACACGAGTCAGCTTTTTTTCCCGGATTCAACAAATGACCGGTACAAAATTAAAAGTTTTTGCTGTGGATATTGAGTGCTTTTATTTAAGCGCATTTCATCCAAATGTTTCGACCTCTCATTCTATAGGCATATTTTCCAATCATATTTGTAGTTTCTGTTGTAAGAACTTGACAACTGAAGGAAAACTTAAAACTAAAAGTTAGCGCCAAATTGAAGAAAATATACATGGATACTTTACCTAGAACGTGAGAACTATAATCCTTATGTTCAACTTGGAGCAAAATAAGTTTATTCAAACTTGTACAATAGCAAAAGATACAAAAAATAAGTTTAATAGAGGTAATCTGATTTTAAGCCAAAGAATTTCATTTTTGAAATGTGTTTTAGAAATTGTTTTGATTACAATTCTGCAGATTTGAATGATGTTAGGTGGACAAACTCCTAATGTTGAAATGAATTGAATTTATGAAAAAGAAAACTTACTTGGTTCTTAGGCGCAGGAAGGGGTTCTCCGGTTCATAATCTGAGTAGGACGGAGAGGAACAGTATTTCTTCCTTCTCCGCTCTCTCTTCCTCTTCTTCCGGTCTTTGGATACCTTTCTCTTCTTCTTTTTCCTCTTCCTAGGTTCTCTGACAGGACTGGAGCTAGGAAGAATATTAGTTTGAGTTTGTGCATCACGTTTACAGAAGGTGGATACATCTGCATAGCAGGCGGCTCGGAGCAGAGCAGAGAGTAGACCTGAGGATCCCAGGTCAAACCCGTTACATGATGTACAACAGGCGGGCCGGGCCCGGGAATGTGCAGTTTTTCGTAAATTACATTTATCAAAGATTTTGGAAGACATTGTTTTAATATATATCACAAGGTTTACGTTTCAAAATAGATATTTTACAATACACGGTTGGAAGACATGTTACAATTATCAGAACTTTTGTTACATATACATAAAATACTTAAAATTTAAACAATGGGTGTCTTGCGTTGGAAGACGTTGGTTGGATCGTTTATCTAGATTGAAAGCCGAGGGAATTCATTTAATCAATATCAGGTTCTAAGACTGGTTCTAGGGTTACCCGGAGACAAACCAAACCCTCTCTCAATTTCTTTTTCTATCAAATTAATTTAGTCCGTGATAAACCAATCTTAACCCCCCAAAAACCCTGGTTTGGTTAAGTTTACAGCTGCGGGTTGGGTTGGGTTGTATTGGGTTGGGTTGGATGGCACGATTGGAATTGAACATCCAACCATTGGTCTGGACCAACTGCAGTATCTCCGGAGACTACGGAGGCTGGGGCTGGAGGTTGGTGTGAAAGGGAGGAAAAGAAAAAGATATAAGGGTGCACTACTAGGGAAGATTTTCAAGTGACTAATATAAAGATTTCAATGCACATCAGCAGGAACTTAATTTACGCATTTGTTCTGGGCAAAAATGAGGGAGAAATCCTCGGTTTTCTTTAAAAAATTGTTACTTTTCTAATAGGAAGGGGTTGAAAAGGTGAAGGATAGATATTTGGATTTGATTGAATGAGAACTTGAGAATGAGGAATGAGGATGGCTCCCAGGGCGTATTTGTATTATCAGCGCAAATTTTGTTTTAAAGTGCCATGGCCGAGATAGGACAATTTTAATAATCCGCATTTTTTACCGCGTTCTTCAGTTTCCAGAAATTGAAAAATGGGACTTTCGTCGTGGTTCAGATCTCGTGGCGGGGGGGGGCACTAGCCCCCTTTATATACCAATGGGATATAATGACGGAGAAATGACTATAGAAGATTTCAGAAAACAACAAAGTTGCCAAGCTAGTGAATAATGTTACCTCTGTTTGTTCTGGTTTCCTAGAACTATCTCCGATACGTCCCTCCTCTTCTCCTTCAAGTTGTTGTTGTTGCTGTTGTTAGACAACTGCCGGAGAAGAACGTTTCGAAAAGATGAAACTTTATTCTCTATCTCGCGTTGAGAATGCCTGAATATCAAGGGTTAAATAAATGAAATTTGTGCCTTGTGCCATTTTAAGGTGATTGTTTATGATATTTGGCGTGGGCGTTTTTTTAAATTTTATAAAATATATATGCTGCCTCTAACTTTTATATCGACGAAATTAACAAAACGAATTTATTAAAGGGATTGTTATTGTATTTTCAAGTGATCTATCCATTTAAAAAGGGCCCGATGCAGAACGATACCCTTTAAAACTTTATCTGATCAATAATTTGGAAGATATCTTTGCTTTTCCTAGATTAAAGAATCCTTACTTCTTACAATTAGTTCTCTTATTTCTGGTAGTAAGAAATCCAATTACTTTAACAGAGAGAACATAATTGAATATAATTATTTTGTAAAGACAAGACTATCTGATTCATTCCCATGGTCAGGCAAACATTTAGGGTACCGTTGTCAATCGGAAATGCCACTCTGTAGAAATAGAGGGTCACTTGAAAATATGCCTACAGTCTCTTTAAATTATCAAAGTTTACAAAACAAATATTATTCAGTATTCTCGTGTTTTTAAGTATGTTTTATACAATACAAGTAAAAACTAATTATTTTATTTTAACTTCTTAAGGTTTCCCTGATAATGTAGATACTCTTTGTGAATATTACGTAGTGTTAAATGGGACAAAACACAATAATCCATGCATAACTTTAAATTCAAGTACAGTCCTTTTAAGTTGGAAAATTAACTTATAACCCTTTATATACAATATAAAAACCTCATTCATCATTTGCTATGTAATTGCATATATCAGTACGTCGTAGCACGTTTAATTCTTTAATAACCCTTATTCTCATGAGAGATAAATTTCATTTCACGCATTTATTTAATCTTTTTACGGACAATAGAGAATTCCGCTATATAAGAAAACCTTCACGGGCTATAGACGCTGTTTATGAGGATCCTTCATGTGTAGAGAGTAATATTTCCTATTCACCACAGTACCCTTTAATCCTTCATGTGTAGAGAGTAATATTTCCTATTCACCACAGTACCCTTTAATCCTTCATGTGTAGAGAGTAATATTTCCGATTCACTACAGTACCCTTTAATCCTTCATGTCTAGAGAGTAATATTTCCGATTCACCACAGTACCCTTTAACCCTTCAATCTGATCAAGCGTGATGGATATGGCATTATTTTCCAGCTGAAAATTCAGTCCGTTGCGAAACTGTGGAACTCAATATTAGCTAGAAAAATATCACCGTCGAAGATTATCAGACACTGTGATTCGGACATACTGTTATATACAAATGAAGGGTCCATTTAAATTACGTCTACAGTCTCTTTAAATTACGTATGCAGTCTATTGAAATTGATTTTACGTAATTTAAATTCACCTTGTCAACAACCTTACTTCGTAAAAAAGTAAATAGCTCAAAGATTTTGCCAAAAAGACTAAACACGAGGTTAAAAGAGTTATATAACCACACTGCAACGTTGTGATTCAATCCGATCCCCCCCCCCCATGTGTTCATTGAACAACCTTGTGTAAAAAAGTTTAACTGTGTCTAAGTTTAGTCTTATTGGTATAAACTTTGAGCTGGCGTGGGCTCAAAACAGAGCAAAAGAAGACTACAATCAAAACTCACCCTTCTGTATTCTCCGAGGCTCAAAAAAAAGAAAAATATCGTAAATTTTGTATTTTTTTAACATTATTATACAAACTACATACAAAATATTTGCCAAAAATTAATGTATACAATGTCAGGGAAACGTCACGTAAAATCAAGTGATAATTTATGTGGGGTTTAAATATGAGGTCCAGGATGGGGGGTGGGGGTCGTATAGCTAGGATTTAAAATAGATTTCACTTTATAAAATTTACCTTTTATTTAAGTTCGCTTATTTTTAATGAGATACTATCTTTACGCGGGAAATTGTATGGATATAAATTCGTTAAGAAGAAACCGATAATTCGCATCAAACTATAACTTTCAAATCTTTATAGTCTTGCAACCGGAATGTGCAAACAATAATTTTCAAACTTTGACTATTCAATCTGCTGGCATTGACAGTCCAGGATATCAGGTTGCACAGATATAATGACTTGAAAATTAGAGTTTCTCGAAAAACTTCTGACATTTTTTCACATTTTTCTTTAAGATTATATTGACGATGTAAAGCAGTTCTAAAACATGTATTTATTCTTACCCTTGTTTCTCCAACATTTCCTCCATTTCTAAACATTTAACAGCAATCCGTCTCTCTTTTATCCCTCCCCCTCCCCCTGAACCAGGTGCCACGCCCCCTGAACCAGGTGTTACTCCCCCTGAACCAAGTCTTATTCCACCGTTTCGTCCAAACATCGTCATTCTGGTTTAATAAAACATTATTTTCATGTCAATTCTGTCAGTAAAAATCACCAAATAATAAATAATACACGAGTAGCGATATTAAAGTTTGGTTTAAACAGATTTTTCTAAGCATACTCCAAAAAACATGTAAATAAGTTGCCACTTATACTGAACTAAGAAATAATAAGCGTTTATATCACAAGTTTAGAATTAAAATGAATCAATAATATTGGATTAAAATCTATATATATAAATATATATTTTAAATATAAATACTTTTATCGAGAATAGTTTATACATCACGTAATGAGCTCTTAACCCTAGTTTTTGTTTCTACATAAAAAATGAAATGAAGGAAAGAGATGTAATCTTATATTATTTATTCTTATAAAATACTAGAGTTGCGCATTTCTAGTTGGGTTATGGTAGATTTTTAAGAAGAAGAAGAAGGTTGTGTGGCGTTAAAAACACAATTATTTGTAAAATCAAAAATCATAATTCAGAATAATGGTATGAAGAGTGTTACACTGGTTCGTAGTGAGTGTACCCGTGGTTTCTAAAAACTGAATACTGCAGTATATAAATGAAAATATATGAAGAGGAGCCAGGGATCAGCTGAATTCTTGTCAATATATTGATCCAAAGAAAGCTCTGCTAGAACCACACACAACAGAAACCGTGCAGTGGCTTCCAGGGGGATTATCCCCCCCTTCCCCTTTTAACTATTCCCCTACTTTACAGTATCCCCTCCCCTTTTCTAACCTGCAGTTTTAAACCCCCCCCCCTTGCCTGAACCATGGTTAATGTTTTGCCTATGTATATTTCATCATCAGATTTATGTAAAGTTATCTCTTCAAAAGAAAAAAAATAGTTTTACACAACCAACACTTTTTACATACGTTTAAGAAAATCAAATTTATTTGTTTATAAAAATGGTCATAAAATTTCTACGCTCGATTTGGTTTACGTAATAGAAATGATTTATTTAATGAATAGAAATAAAAGATATTTTGGAAGAAAAGCTTCTTTTGCGTCGACTGTAAGCGTAATTTCAAGTTACCCTCCATGCAAAGATTGCAATGTCTGATTTACAACGGTACTCAATAGAGAAGAAGGCCTCACTAAAAATTATTCGTGTGCATGTTGTGCTTAAAAAAATTCCTATTAACTTTAATACACTCAGTCTTAAAAATGGGCCATAGCCCTAGTTTGGAACTAATATACCCTGATATTATGATTGTAAAAGCACAAAAAAGGTTCGACCACATTTGGGCTATGCCATAACTATTGGAGTATTTTGTAATTACTAATTTAAAAAAATACATTATTTTATAAATTTTTATTTTCATAATCAACGCTAATTACATATTAAATGTATATGATAAGAATCACAAAGAACTGACAAATTATTTTATCATCATTTATAATATTATAATACCCCAGGTTTTCGGAAAGAGAAATTAACATAATCCGATCTCCACTTTACTTTTCGTGAACACTCCCTTTAAATACCTAAATGAGATCCTGATCTTAAAACAAAAGCATGTTCAATCTCGTATTCATCCAACCTAGCATTCTTCTCATCCATCCCCTCAACCTGAAAATTCACAAAAAAACTGACAATAAAAAATGTCATTAAGAAGACTGTATGCGTGACCCACCATCCAAAAACATGGCGGTGCTGGATTTACAAGGGTACCTAACGAACCATAATCTGATCAAACGTGCAAATTTCTGCAGAGTTTCTCCATTGCTTGCTATACGCTAGAAATGTCACTTTTGCAGAAACCACAAATGAAAATAAACAGTTTAAGAGGAAAATGTTAATATCTAATTAATACTTAACCAGAAAAATATTTCACGGGTACCAATGTTAATCGGACAATGCCATTTTTCATGGAGGGTCATTTAAAATTACGTAATCGTTGAGCGATTGATCCCAAACATAAAAACGTGGAGAACAGGTTAGATTTGTAATAAATTTGAGCTTGATGTTTTTCATATCTTTTTAACTTTCATATCTTTCAAGTTCTAAGGAGCTAAAGAAATATATATATAAGTTGAAATTACATCTCTCTGAAAGTGTTGCTCTAAATAAACTATGGTCAAATATTTTCTCATGAACAAGCCAAACATGCTCTTATGATTTGATTATTTAACACTGCAGATTCGGATATTTAACTTTTAGCGTTTATACCTTTAATGATTAAAATTCCAGAAATAATGGCATTGTATGACAACTAGGAAATGCCCCCCCCCCTCCCCAACACTAGTCAAATTACGTCTATAGTCCATTTAAATCGTCTCCCACTAGTTTAATTACGCCTACAGTCTCTTTAAATCGTCTCCCACTAGTTTAATTACGCCTACAGTCCCTTTAAATCGTCTCCCAATAGTTTAACTACGCCTATAGTCCCTTTAGATCGTCTCCAACTAGTTTATACTTTTTAAAATGGTATGTATGTATGTAATATGTAGGGGTGTATGGGTGTATGTATGGGTGTTTGTCTGTCTGTCTGTCCGTTTGTATCCAATAAACGTCAAAACGGCTGAACCGATCGGGCCCAAATTTTGTGTGGGACATCACATGATCCCAGGGAAGGTTTTTGGATAATCGAATTTTCAAATATATTTACGATTTTTTTTTGTATGAATTCTACAATGTATACAAAGAGAAAATTTTACAAATTAAATAAAAGATGGGGGCGAAGCGCCCTAAAAGCCCAGTGTGTTAAAAAAGAAAAAATAAATCAAACATGAATAATAATACTACAAGGAACTCTCTGTTAATGCCCCTCCATCTAATCCCTATCTATATTTTCATGGACACAATAATGTTAGAGTTAGAGGGACTGCTTTTTATTCCTTAAATCAAGACAGACACTTCTCACACTACAATCTATGAATTAATTATGTTTTAAACCAAGTTATAAAACTCTTCAGGGTAAGAAGTTTGGAGAAATTATTATTAAATTAAACACAAAGTTCAGCGCTAGTTTTGTAAATAAGATTTTTAAAAAAAAGATTTGTTTGATCATTACTAGCAAGCGACCCCTGTCATTATAGAATATCATCTGTAGAAGTATTCAATAAACCCATGGGGGCGTACGAGGGGGGACCGAGCCCCCCTGAGGGGGGGTTCTTTTAATATTACATCTGCTTGCATTTACCTTCCTCAGGCAATCTACATTCTATATTGCATTGCATTGAAATCACCCAAACTAAAAGATTAAGAAAAGAAATAAAATATATTCAGATTCACAACAATACCATTCAAAGCTTTGTGAAATATCCATGTTTCCCATTTTGAAAACTGATTAGTTGTATTTGTGGTTTCGCTACAAAAGTGACTCGTACATTTCTTGCTTCAGAAACGATGGAGAAATGAAGGTTTCAAAGTTACATCGGACATGCCACTCTATAAATGGAGGGTCACTTTAAATTGCGCATGTATTCCATTTAAGTCTTTAAAAAAGCTTTAATCAATACTGCCTTCAGTGTAAATATATTTGATATCATAATTTATAAAACAATATGTCACGATCCTTAGAAAATTCAATAAATTGAAACTAATTATATGTTAACAACAGGTTATTAACATTAAAATGAAGTTATAAGAACCTTTGATTCGCTTTTATGTAAATTGAGTTTGCTTGTACTTATAACAGTAGATTTAAAACATTGGATAAAATATTTAATTGGTATTGTTTTGAAGAAGGATGCCGAGTACCCAGCATTGCAGTGGCTGCAAGGAGGAGATGGCAGCGGCCTAGGTTGAGGAAACGGCAACGGCCAAGGTGGAGGCGGCAGCTGCCAAGGTGGAGGCGGCCATAGCGGGAAAATAGTTTAGGTAAGGGTTCTTATTAATGTTCATAACCCAATTTTTCAAGCTTAAGTACAAATTAGGCAGTTAACTTTAAAAGTTTAGGTGCTAATGGGAGGGTTGTATAAATGCTGGGAGGGGGGGGGGGGGCTGAATTATGTATTGTATATTTTTTTGAGGGGGGGCGCGCAAAAGGTGCACAAGTTTTGTTGACAAATAATATCATGTTAAACATAGTTTTAAGATTAATTTAAAAAAAAGTATTTTAGATCTGTTAAGATTAATTAAACCTGTTTATTGTGTGTGACAAAATCTTAATTTATTCTTTCAGCATTATCAATTAGGGAACTTTCTTAGTATGGCAGATACTACGGTAAGTTTTAATGATTTTATAGGGTTCATATTAAGGATGAGACTCTGTGTATACTTTTCAGAATTTTTCAGAATCATTTTTTAATGATTTGGGGGGAAATTTAAACTGGATTTATTAAAATCTTTTTAATAGTTTTTGTCCTAAAAATCTTTTCATTTTTCCTAATTCACTGCAGTAACAAATATTGCGCAAACACCTGTATTTTCTGGGAGGTAAAATTATTTTTAAAAGCGGGGGAGAAAAATACCGAATTCTAATTCTCATATATAACGCTTTAAATGTTATTATTTCAGTGATCTTATGGAATCCAGCATAATTCCATAGGTAAATAATAATAATGATAATACGAAAAAATGGCATATTTCTTATCTATAGCTGAAATTTTGAATTTTAAATATCCAATGTGGACACTTTTAATTTCCTTCTTATTCCGTTCTTTTTCTCTTTTTTTATACATCTTTTCTACGTTTGACCATTTCATTAAATGGCGCGCATAAAATTTTCCGGCTTTTTGGATCGATTGTTCTGGGTTCCAAATTCCACTTGATTGCTTAAGTTATTTACATTTTGTTGATACAAACTTAAGATTAAATTAATCTTGAAATTAACAATAAGAGATGATTAAACATTGTTTACGAAATCCACAATTCTGAAGTTTTCAGCACAGGTAAATTTTATATGCGAAAACTAAGAAATTATTTTGGTTGTTTTTGTATTTTAAGTATTTAATTCAAGAAAAGTTAAAATAATAAGTGCCACTTAAAATTTTAATATTCTTTCCAAACGCATAAAAGTAGTGATGGGCATGGGCATTGTTTTGAGGATTGATGATGAGACGGGAGGAGGGAGATAAGACTATGAACTCCACTATAATCTCCTTCCTCCCCTCTTAAACATTAAGTTCTTAAATTAATAATAATGCTTTCAGGTTGATGTTGCTGGTCATAACACCAACCATTTTACAGATTTTTATTTTTTTATTTTAATAAATTATTTTAATTACAAATGTAAATTTAGTTAGTTGTGGTTACGTTCTCGGTGCTTTCTTATAGTTAACAATTTACAAAAAAGGTATAAATTAATTGTTCAATCAAGGTTTCAATCAGAGCATATTATTTTCTGTACTATTTTGCATTGCAGCTTGAAGTTCCGATATTATAGATTTTAGCAAATATAAAAGGTACGCCGAAATAATTTTCAAATTTTTTTCGTCAATAGAAGTTTCCTCTGTTCTTTTTATAGATCTGCAAGATTTAGCTCGTATATAGAAAGGTTTTATTTTTGCTTGTCAAGTTTAGCAATGTCGTTAGTTTCTTTCTTTCTCTAAAATTTCCCCCCAAGAAGAAAACTACCGTTATTAAGAGTCCGTCCTCCACCTTTGAATGGGTAATTTTGGCCGCCAGTTGTCTAACGCTAAATTCCTATCTGATATTTATTTCACACGACTACTAATGTTGAAAGGAAGGGCCTCAGGTGGTAAACCGGAAATTGTAGTCGTTAAAGACGACATTATTGTTTTTCAATGACTGACTGTTGAGACAAACTTTAAATGGTCCATTGTAGGGATCTTTGTTTTAAAGCATGTATCTTGTTTATAAGTTCACTCATTGATTTATAACAACAGATAGACTACTTGATGTCGTCTTTAAGATTTAGGGGATTGTCGTTCACCCTTTGGAGTTAGGCATGCTGCGTTTGATGTAAAGACACTAAGGAGTTATAGGCATGGTGCGTTGAATGACTGATTAGGATTAGGATTTTTGTGAACGATAAACCCCCACACTTTGAAAATACGACATCTAGTGTTCAATCTGTATTGTTATTAATGAGCTCATTACTCAAATCGATAAATAAAAAAAAATGTTTTGAAATTCACTTACATTGTTAATGATGCTTCCGTAAATATAGTATGGAACTTAAACAAAGCAGTTTCCGCAAAATAAAGGGAGCTGTTTATTCGTGAAAAATATTTGGTAAGACGTGGAACTTAATTTCTGCTATTTTAGTCAATTGAGCACCATACTACTAAATTCAAATTGAAGAGTGGCACAGTTTTTTTTTGTTCGATATAAAGAACATCAAAAGTGGCTTGCTTTAATTTGGTGAGGGAGGGAAGGCCAGGCGTCCATGAACCCCGTGGAAAGTCTCCGAACCCCGTGGAGGAGGTTTTTTTTGAAGAAAACGTTATCAAATATAAATATTACTTGTAAATTATCCAATTATCCAATTTTCTCGAAATATGGACTCAATAAATATCAATTTAAAGAAATAATTTTCATTATTTCTCCAAATTTAGTTTTCCTGTATAGAGGGTGGATCTTAAGTATGACACTATTCATAGAATTATGTTTATTACCTTTTATTTCCTGTTTTAAATTTAAAGGTCATTGCTTAAAATAGAAAATTTAGAAAGTTTAAATAGTCGTATACAATCTATGGTTATGATATGCAGGCTCTTTCTTGTATATGCAAGAAAAATAAATTGAAGTCCTGAACCCCCCCCCCCCTCCCGTGAACAACTCAGTGTAAGCCCCTCTGATGTCTTTTAAGTTGGGAAGTGGATATTTCCGTTTCTTCCCACTAAAATTGATTTTAAAAGCTTTTTAAAGTAAGCATTCTTTTCCAACTAATGGTTTTACTAATTAACTTGTATATTACTAAATGACTACTCTGACTACTTGATCATGTTAGAAGGACTGATTCGGCGTCTAGGTCTTCATTGTGGAATAATCCTCGTTTAGTTAACTTTGCTCAGTAATTAAATATTCCAAGTTGGTAAATACAATCCATAGGATTGTCAGCAAAATAACTGGAGCAAATTGAAATAAGTATTTTCGCAAGTTTTTAGGTTTATTAAAAAACACGAAACTTCTAAAATGTCATAGTGTATCCGTTTTCCAGGGTTACCCACAATGGATGAGACTTCAGCTTCAGGCTTTTGCTTTAATTAGAGTTTTAAAATTATTTTGATTATTTGGCAAAGAAAGCTACCATAAATTTTTGAAAAAAATTCTAATAAATTCCTAACGTCTCCTAAGTTTCATCTTTGTGGTTAACCTTGTACTTCAAATATTTCGATACCTGCTTTATAAAATAAAATTTGTAATTTAAATGAACCATAACAAAAATCTATTTCAAAATAGAGTGAAGACGATAAAACTAGATAATCTCTAGAAATGTAGTAGATGATTATATTATAATTATATAGTGATCATCATTTACCATATTATTTTGGTGAGCACTGTATATTTGTTAGAAGTCGTCTTCATTTTCCATATCATTTTAGGGAGCACTGACTATTTTGAAAAGTCGTCAATGCTTACCATTTTATTTTAGGAAGCACTGTTTATTTATTAGAAGTTGTCTTAATTTACCATTTTATCATGTATGATTTAGGTGAAGAAATATTTACAATCTTTTTATAACCCAAATAGACCATGTCAGGCTTGGGCCAACTACTATTCAAAGTTATCCTTTTTTAACGGGATATACTTTTTTATTTAGGTCGAGAAGAAAAAATAGTCTGCATAATTTACTTTAGGTAAGTTATGGCTACATTTTGTTTATTTAAACATTTTAACATTAAACCCCCACAATGAAGAAATTTCAATTTGGGATGATAATTGATTTCATGTCACATTTCTGAAGCAAATTCAAAGTTAAGGCACAGAACCCGTTTTGGAACATATGTTGCGATTTTGAGACATTTTATAGATTTGCATGATGACCTTAGATAATTTCAAATAATAGTCCGAATTTACTGAGTTTAAGTCGCGTCTAAAATTCCCCAAAAACTGGTTTCAACTTAAATATTGAAATATGTAATACAAATTTAAGTGGTACCAACAAAATTTGAGCCGCGTCTCAAATTTAAACCGGGGCTCAAATTCCTTAAATTTGGCCTCTGGTTAAATCAAATAATCTAAGGTATCAAAGGTTCAAACGCTTCTGAACTTGGTTAAAAATGTCAAATTTGAAATAAATGTTTTTAACGAAGGTTTGGTCTACTCTCTTCATCGCAAGGTTATAATGCAAGGAAAGTTAATTGCAGTTGGCATACTCTGCGCACATATTGAAACCAGTTCTCTGTGGGCGAAATTTATAGACAAGAATAGATGCATCGTTGTTAGTTTAGTATCCGAGGAGGTTAAAAGCATTAAATTTTGATAATTTTGATAATTCACTTAATAGTTTTCTATGACCAGAATATTTCATTGGTTTTATGTGTGAAAGATGGATCCCATGTCAGGCTGAGACATCCGTCTTGTGTTTACATAACCACCCAGAGACAGTACACTGCAGTGCAAAAAATGCGCACACCTATGAAAAAACTTTCCTTGCTTTATAACCTTGCTCCATCCTAGTAATATAATTTACTAGCTGAAGGGCCTGGCGTTGCCCACGGAAAACAAATTTTAAAATTTAAAAAAATGAAAATTTCAGAAAATAAAATTTCCCGGCCACCAATGAGTGTCCACAAAAAATTTCAGCCCTTTCGGTCCAGCCGTTTGGCCGGCTATAAGCAACATATATATGTCTTGTTTGATTATTTAGAAAACTTAGGAATATAACATTATATCTTATTATGTTGAATTGGTTTAAAGTTTAGGGAGGTTGAGATATCGCAGGTTAAAGGATTCGACCCCCCCCCCCC